CGCTAGCGTATAAGGGCGTTAGTAATCTCCTTCTCGGTAATTTTAGAGGTTGCCTATATACTACGGCGGTGCTAGTTAGAGAGGCTTATATTAGGGTAGTCCTAATTAGAGTAGCGAGTAACCGTAAAACGGCTTTCGTAGTCGCGGACCTACTAGAGATACTTCTATTAGTTTAGGGAGTCTAGTGCGGGAGGGTCGCGTTTTACTAGTTCGCGGAGGACGTCCTACGAAGGTGCCTCTACGGTACCTTTATAGTAGCTTCGGTCTTCCGCGTAACTCCTAAGAGATTCTTATCTCTTTCTTTTATTAGAGCTTGCCTCTTAATACTTAGATCGCTAGGCGATAAGTAGCTCTAGCCTCTATATCTAATCGATCGAGGCTTCGATAGGGTCTATAGCCTATAGAGTAGCAATTGCACGGTATAGGTTATAAGGGACACTATTATTATTAATGCCCTCCTTAATAGATAGTTCTTTTTATAATATAGTGTCCGGAGGAGGGTTTTCTTCTCTAGGAGGTTCGCGGCTACCTTACGGTACCTTTGCGGTACCTCCGTCTAGATCGAGCTAATCCTCTAGTCTAGCGCTGCTACTAGGCGTTATATCTTCCTTATCGATAATAAACCCTAGAGGATTATTAGCCTCGGTACGTTTAGTTCGTACGGCTCTTTTTCCTACTAAAGACATTTTCGATAGGTTAGTAAGGATCTATAGAGCTATTACGGTAGCTTTATAGTAGCGCTAGACTCGAATCGAGAGCTTATTTCGTACTTAAGACGGCTGTTCCCTAGTAGGGATAAGAGGTAATATTCTATAAGGGTGTTATAAATAGGGGGTCTTAATACTAAGTAGTAATTCTTAGATATGTACGATATTGCCTAGAGAGCGAAAGGGAATAGGTAACGAGGACATTACCCTTTTATAGGATTGCGCCCGGTGCTAGTTAGGCTCGGCGGTGCCGTAGAGGTACCGTAGAGTTATCCTTTAGCCGTCGCATCCGTATAGGGAA